TCGCATGGGTTAACCCTGTGCTTTATTTAATTTTGAGTTATTTAGAAACTCAGATGCTAGGCAGATGTGCTCAAAAAAAACCAACCAAAACAAACCAAACAGACACACACAACAAAGCCCAGCTACTTCCTATGAGAACTGAGAAGCTCACACAACAAACACAATCTTCCTGAAGAGCAACTAAAAGATTGTTTTTATACTGTGTCCTATACTTGTCTCCCCATGACATGTACTGTGACCTGTGTCATGGAAACAGAGGCAGACTGCTGTCATATTCCATGAGAACAACAGGAAGGAGATGAACATGCTAAAACAAACCCAACCTCACCAAAAATTTTTGAGGTGAAACTTGCATTGATCTTTAGGTCAGTACATGTAGTCTCGCCGTGGCAGCAAACTGGCTGTCCCTTGCCTTCTTGCATTGTAAGTTTGTGAGACAGATAATCTGCCTAATCACCCCTCAGTTTCATGTGCTCATCTGCCTCTGCTCTTCCCACCAGCTCCTGTGTGGAAAGCACAGGGGAAGGATCTCCAATGACAGCTCTTCCCACCACTCCACCCACAATCCCCCTTTGGGATGAGAAAATAGCCACGTGCTTTTATTTTGAGGCTCTACCCCACAACTGGTTGCCTGCAGACACCTCTGAGGAAGTATTTGATTGCTTCATGGCAATCTACATTTGCCCATCATGTCAGGTCCTCACTCAAGTGCACATCCTGAGCAAGCACTGCTAAATATGTCCTGAGTAATCTGGGATTTCAGCAGCTCGGTATCCAGTTCTTTGTTGAAGACCATCTTCACACTGAGGTCTTCTCTCTGCCATTGCCTAAGTTTATCCACATAGAATCATAGAATCATAGAATCAGGTGGGTTGGAAAGGACCTCTGAGATCATCAAGTCCAACCCTTGATCTGCTACCACCACAGTTATTAGACTTTGGTACTAAGTGCTGCATCCATAGGATGTGGGAATGCAAACACCAGAACTGCACAGAGGAAAACAATACATAAAGAGGTGATTGGTGACAAGCCAGCATGGTTTCATTAAGGGTAAATCATGCCTGACAAATTGGGTGACCTTCTACGGCAGGAATACAGCATAGGTGGATGAGAGAAGAGCTACTGACACCATCTGCCTGGACCTGTGCAAATCATTTGGCACTGTCCTGCACAACACCCTGGTCTCTAAACTCGAAAGTCATGGATTTGATGGACACTTTAGTGCTAAGAAGGTGGCTGGATGGTGGCATTCAAAGAGTTGAGGTCAGCAGCTGGATGTATAAGAGGAGATCATTGACCACTGATGTTCCTCAAGGATTGGCATTTGGATCAGTGCTCTTTAACGTCTTTATTGATGATGGGGACAACCTTCTCCTATGAAGACAGCCTAAGAGAGCTGGGGTTGTTCAGCCTGGAGAAGAGAAGTCTAAAGGAAGACCTTACAACATTATTCCAGTAGGTAAAGGGGGCTGGCAAGAAAGCTTTTAGAAAGGCATGGGGTAATAGGACAAGTGGAAATTACTTCATACTGAAAGAGGGTGGGTTTTGGTTAGATATTAGGAAGAACTTCTTTACTCTGAATGTGATGAGGCACTGAAACAGTTTACCTGTGGATGCCCCATCCCTGGAAGTTTTCAAGGCCAGGTTGGATGGGGCTTGCAGCAATCTAGTCTAGTGGAAGGTGTCCCTGACAAAGGCAGGGGAGTTGGAACTAGATGATCTTTAAGGTCTCTTTCAACCTTAACTATTCTATGATGAAAAGTACTGCATATTGATGAAAAAAATATTTTATGCCACCTAGAAATACACTCCTTGTCACTTAATTAGACTCCATAATTATAACTATAAGGCCAAGATGAGAAAGATATTGCTGGCATGTTTCACATTGTAATCTCACACCCTATAATTGGACTAAATGTCAAAATCAGTTTTCAGAAGTGCATACAGGAAGACTTGTAGCTGGACAAACATTTGGTTGTCTAAATTTTTTAATTAAAAATCCTAAGTTTACTAGCTGGAAAACTACAGCAATTCCAAATGACTTTTTGTGCCATTATGAACGATAACCTTAGGGAATCGTGTCCATGAGATAGCAGCTGATCACACTGAGATGTGTGGCACACTGGGAGACGGTGATCTGTTTTACGCATGTCATCACCTCCAAAGTTTTTGTACAAGACTTGTACTTGATGCCACTTTTTGGCCCACAACAGCTGAAATTGCATGTGCTTTAGCCGAAATAACAGAATTATTAGTAACTAAAGCACCACAGATTTCTCTGATTTGCATGGGGATAGATGTGTTGCCTGGAGAAGCCAATCTCTGTCTGCAACAGCACATGCTGGAGCGAAATACAAGGGTGGCTGGAGAACAGAGAGACATGCTTCTCTCTAAACCCAGCAACCTCCAGATAACCTTTCTTTGACAAGAGGTTTTGCAGCTTGTGTTGTTACTGCTGCTGCCAATCAGTTAAGCCCCCAAATAGATCTTGTCTAAACCTCTTCATCCTTTGTCTGGTAAGATTATTTTCCGTTGCCGCTTTACACACGGAAGGACTTTCTGAGGAGGCTCAGCATCATTATTTCCAGGAAAGAGTAAGAGAGAACCAAGACAAAATCAGAGCCTTACAAATGTTTTTCTTTAATGGAAATTAGATTTCCAAAAAAAGAAATACCACTGCATTTATTTGGAAGATTACTTAATATAGTTCTATTTACAAAGTAGATAGATTACATCTATGGCATGATAAAATAGATTTGGAAAAGAAGTTGTGTCAAGTACCACATAGCTCTAGTCCCAGAGGGTTTCCCAGTAGGGGCTCTCAGCCACTCTGTATTAATACCAAATTGCTGCATTACTCTTCTGCCTCCATCTGACAGAAAGAGATCAGGCTTTCTGTCCTAGACCTCAGCTTCCTGCAGACACTGTCTACTTCCCCTGTCCATATCTTCTGTCACCACTTTCAGAGACAGCCCAACAAATTCCAGTGATGTTTTTAACAGTCCATGACACCGTTCAACTTTCCAGAGCTTGATGCATGGGAGGGAATATGATACAGCCACTCAGTTCTGTGCTCTCTGGCCCAGGTGTCTAGGAGGCTGTTTGGGAAATGAGTCTCGTTGTCCCACTCAGTCCTTCCTGGGCTGCAGTGTGGCCACAGGACTGGTTTTTCAAGGCCCACGATGGTGTTTCAGGTGTGAGGCACAGGTTGTGTCTCCAGCCATCTGGTGGTTGTGTCCACCATTCTCAGCACTTAGCGCTTGACTTGGTGGGTTTGTGGGGGTGTGATGGGTTTGATCTGCTTGGCCTTCTGTCGTGGTTTTGCCGGTTCTTGGAAACTAGAGAGGAATTTTTTCCCTTCCCCCTGCCCACGGCGTGCAGGCTTGTGAAGTGGGCACTTAAGGGACACAAAAGAAGTGGCTTTCTGGTGAACTGCTCTGAATCTTGTCTCCTAGGAGTCGAGGGGATGAGGAGCTTTTCTTTCCTTTTTTTCTCTCATCTCCTGGGCAACGGGGGGAAGAATTTTGAGGCTTGCTGCGGAGGCTGGAACAAGGTCGGGCTGGAGCCTCGGTGTGGTGTCCTGTTGTTCTCAGCCTGCTTGCCAGCTAGTGATCCTGCTTGGATTTTTTTCCTCAGAGAGGAGCTATTTTCTGGCAGTTTTTCCCATTCCCCGTTCGCATTTGGTTTTTTTCCCTGGGGGTGGTCCTTGTGCACATCAAGGGGAGAGAGAGGACCGTGTTGCACGATTCGAGCAGGCGAACAGAGTGAGTCTGGGGTTTGGATTTTTTTTCCATTGGGGAGGATTTTCTTTTGGTTGTTGTTTCTCTCTCCCCTCTCCCTCTCCCCTTTCCCAGTGTGTGGGAAGAGGAAGGGAAACCCATTTTATTTCTGGTTTCTCCAACACAGCCCGGAGGGTGTTACCCCCAGGTGGCAACGCCCAGTGATTCCACAGCGCCCCCTGCTGGCCGGCAGAGAGAACTGCAGGCTCTGCCTCTCCAGTGACCCAACGGCGCCCCCTGTTGCCTGTGGTTCAAATGGCACCAAAGGGCCCCAACTGAACTCTTGGCTTTTTTTTTCTTGACTTCTTTATTGGTTTATTTGGAAGAAAATTAGTTGTGCATCTAGGAGTATTGTTTGGTTGTTTGACTGGGCTTTTTACCTTGTTTCTGCCAAGACACACATACCTTTTAAGAAAGGGTTGTTAGTTTTCCTTTATCCATCTTTTTTTCCTTCAATCAGGGCCTCTTAATTTCGGATTTAGAATTGCTTAGAAGCAGGAGTTTGGTTCTTTTCTCATAACTCCTCCTCAGCAAAACACCTGTGTCTCCTTTCAACTGGGAAATCCAGGCTCTGCCCATCCGCTCTGCTGGAAGCACTGACGCTCCAGGAGAACCACTGTTTTAGCTTTCCCAACCGGTGCCCCGAGGGAATGAAAAGAGTTTTTCCAGGTGCATTTCCGGAGCAAAGCCAATTCAAAGTTTTAGTAAGGCCTCTGCCAATTCCATAGTTAAAAAAAAGGAAAGGGAAGCCTGTTGCCCAGATGAAATAACCTGTTGCTATGAAATACATAGCACTTTTGCCTAGTTTGAATTGTTGTATCTAGAGTTCTTTCGTTTTTCTCTTCCTAGTAAGAAATCCTAATATTCTTCTCCCCAATCAGATCTCTTTTGTCTGCATAAATCTAATCACAACTTTGAGCAATTGTGGGGGGGGGAGGGGAGGGAGAGAGTTGCTGAGTGCAAGGACCCCTTCCCCTCTTGCCCAATGCCCTGGGGACACTGGGCAACAAAAAAATTTCTGGGCCTCTGGATGCAAAGACAGAATTTAATATTGTCATATGGTGTCCAAGGAAGTGCTTGCAGAGAAGGGATCTTCCCTGCACGCTCAGCTGGTCCCAGCAGATGAAGCTTCCTGGCTCACTTCTCCACAGAGCTCCAGCAGCACAGCCAGAGACTGCCCCACAGGCAAGGCTGGCACTTGCACATCCTGCAGAGACAGCCTCAGAGCTGCCAGAATCTAGAGGATGGAGCTCTCTGTAGGCCTCTGAAGATCTCTGAGGTTTGAAGTGCCAGGCTGGAGATGGCAGGGCTCTCATCTGTCATGTCTTCCAGGGCTGGAACACAAAGGTACGAAAGCAAGATCAGAGGCAGCATCTGCAGGGACCCGAGGAGCCCCTCCTGCCAGGGCCATCCCACATGGCAGCTCTTGCCATGCCTGGCAGGGAGCAGGGCCCAACAGGAGGAGCTGGAAGATGCTGGTCCCCAGTACCCCCCAGCCACAGAAAGCCACTGCAGCCTGAAAGGTCTCTCTGCTCTGCCCAAAAGCTCCCCGTCCGTGCTGGGAGCAGAGCCCTGCACAGCCAGGGCAGGGATTGCAGCTCCCTGCCCAGGATCCCTGCTCCTCCCCGCCAGCCCCTGCTGACAGCCCGCTGCCCTCACTCGCTCACTCACCCTGGATGACGAGCAGCAGCTCTTTGTGCTGTCCCCTCAGGTACCTGCCGGCAATGCCTGGGCACACACACAGAGCCTGTCAGGGCACAGCTCCCCCCAGGGGCTGCCACACGGCCCCCTGCCCTGGCAGGGCTGAGCCCGGGCCCTTCCCGCATGGTGCCGCCCCAGGGCTGGGCTGGGACAGGGCGGCAGCACCGCCAGGGCACTCGGGGCTCCACAGCACAGCCCTGGGCCGGATCCTGCTGCTGCTGCTGCTGCAGCGGGGCGGGAGGGACAGCGGGGCGGGAGGCACCGCGGGCTTGGGGCTCACCCATGAAGCCGAGGGCCGCCTCTCGCACGGGCTCCTGTGGGCTCTGCAGGTACGGCAGAGCCTGGCGCAGGTACTTGGCCGCTCTCCTCTTGTCCTTCTGCAGCTGCAGGAACGGCAGGGCAAGCACAGAAGGCTTGGCTCAGGCTCTGCCCCTTGGCCGGGCACTGCCTGCACCCAGCACTGCCCTGCCCTGCCCGCACAGCCCTCAGACCTGGGCAGCAGCTGCTGGGGCCGGGTTTGGAGGGCACAGAGGGCCACCCTGCCCCACAGTACAGCTGGGCAGGGGCTGCAGTGACCCCCGGGCTCAGGGGCAGAGGATCCTGGAGGGAAATGAGGCCCGCACGGCCAAGGGAAGGCAGCAGCGTGTGGGGCGCAGGCTGGTGTCCCACAGGGCAGGGCAGCAGTGGGCAGGGGCACAGGGCCAACCCCACTCCCTGGGCATCGGGGGCTGGGCACTTGTCCAGCCTGGGGCTGGGGCTTTCCCATCGTCCTTACCAGGCACTCGCCGAATCTGCAAAGGGTCTCTGTCCTCACCAGGTTCTCCAGATCGCTCCAATTCAGGAACCTGGCCGCACAAAGCAGTGCATCAAGAGAGACCTGCAGAGAAGTGGAGAGCGGGAGATGAGACCGCAGCCCAGGGCACAGGACCTGCGTCCCTGGACCAAGGCTAGGAGGAGACCGGAGCCCCTGAGATGCCAGGGCAGGAGGCAGCCCAGTCCCTCCCGCGGGGACAGCAGAACCCAGGAGTCCTGACCTTTGCCACGTGCTGGTTGTCATCGTGGCAGTGCAAGAAGAGGGGGAGCAGGCTCTGCACCACGGAGCGCTTCAGGGTCTTTCTTGCGCTGTTGACTGCCAACTCCATCACCTTGGTGAAGACGTGAATGGAGAGCAGCTGCACTTGGCTGATGTCCTGAGAGAAAGGGGAGGAAAAGACCTCAGCACTGGCTGCTGCAGGCCTGCCTGAGAACAGGCCCTGAAATGCACAGGGCACGCTTTCCAGGCAGCACCCAGGGCCTGTTCCTGTGAGGGGTGAGGGGCCTTACGTTGCCGAGGAGTGGCTGGAGCGCCTCAGCCAGCTTCAGGGCAGTGGGTCTGGAGAGCTGGATGTCTGGCTCCCGCAAGTGATCCCAGAGCACAGCCAGGATCATCTGCCACCAGCTCTCCATCTGCATCCCCCAGGAGCTGCACCAGGCTTGGTGTGAGGCTCAGCGTGCTGTCAGCCTGTGTGGAACACAGTGTCGTGCTGTTGAAGCCATCGAGGGCAGCAGCGCCAAGCCCGCTGCGGCGCTGCAGCTCCACGCTGCTGCTGCAGGGCCCAGAGGCCAAAAGCCTGTCCTGAAGGACTCGGGCGGCTGAAGGGTGAGGCAGGAGAGCTGGGAGCAGAAGCCACAGCTGCCTTGCCCAGCCAAACCCAAGTGACTGCCTTGCCCAGCCCCAGGTTGCCAGCAGGGCTTCAGCCACCTATCCCCTTCTCACCATTGATGGATCCTTTCTGAGCACCAGGAGCATCCTGAGTGCCAGGCGATGCCTCTCTGGGCACTTGCTCTGCAGGGGCCTGGCAAGGATGCACAGCACTCTGTCGCCACATTCCCTCATGTCCAAGCAGTCCAGGACCTGAAAGGCACGCAGCAGTGACAGGGCGCCCGGCCGGCAAGAGCCCAGACGTGCACAGGGCTGGCCCCAGACAGCAGCCCAGCACACAGGAACCGTCCCGGGCAGCTGTGGCCATGAGAGGGCAGAGAGCTGGAGGCAGCCGGGCGAGGCAGCACCGGCCATCAGGCTCACCTCCACAAAGAAGGCCATGGCGGGGAGCTCCCAGCGCAGTGCCAACACTGCTGCTTGGCTGAGCAGCTGGAGGAGGTAGCAGCCCATGTGGCGACACAAGGGGCTGGAGACACGGCGCATCTCCCTGTCCGGGGAAAGAGGCACCAGAGAGCCTGAGCTGGCTGGGCAAAGCTCTCCTTTGACAGACTCCCAGCGGCCTGGTCTTTCCCCAGCAGACTGGCAGGGGACGGGAGCGCCTGGGGAGGAGACTCCTCCTCTGCACCCTCCTCTCCCTGCTTTTTGCACTCCTTTCGGCCACCCCTCCACAACAAGGCCCTCTGGCCCACGCCCACGGGCACTGTGCGGGCTGCCCCCTTCCCAGGGCAGAAGGGACTGGGGCAGCGGGGACAAGGAGGTCTCACCTGGCCAGCAGACCCACGGCATAGTGGTGGGTGTCCATGTGGAAGAGCGTGTCCCAGGCAGCCTTGCGATCCATGGCCATCACCACCTCCTCGCACTCCAGACGGAAGAGCAAGGCCTTGATGACGTGCACTGCAAACCTGTGTGCAGAGCAAAGCCCAGGTGACGCTGGCAGGCCTGGCCCCAGCCCCAAGGACATGGCAGGGACCAGGGGACTGGGATGGAGCACCTCTTGGGGTTCCTGGCAAGTCCCTGTTCCTGCCAGCATTGCCTCCAGAAGGTGTCGACCTTCTCTGGCATGGGCTCTGTGCTGATGAAAACGTTGAAGAGCAGAGCCACCAGGAGGCGTGGGGAATTCTCCTTCAATGGCTCTGGGCACTGGAGCCTCTGGAAAATCTCCCAAACCACCCTGGTTGCCTACAAAAGACAAAGGAGCCAGAGAGAGCTCTCAGTGCCCAGATGTGCATGTGGCAGGGCCTGAGCAGGGGAGAGAAAAGACCAGGGGAGAAACAGAGGGAGCAGCTGACCGGGTGCTCCTGACCGTGTCCCTCTGCCACATTTGCAGCCCAGTGCCTGAGGCAGGGAGGGCTGGTGGGGGAGCATGGAGAGCCAGTAAAGAGGCAACGTGGAGGGGAGCAAAGGCCACTTGCAGGAACTCACAGCCAGGCCATAGATGTGCTTGTGGTCCCCATCAGAGGTGAACGTGCAGTAGAGTGGCCACTCCTCCATCACCCTGAGCAGCACTGGCAGCACCTTCTCCGTCATCCTTCCTGACGAGGTGATGGCCCTCCACATGACTGCTGCAGCTCTGCAGGGCCAGAGCTCTGTGTCAGGGGGGTTTTGGCCACAGCTCTGCAAGAGCCCCAGCGCCAGAACCACAGTGCCTCGAGGGGCAGGGAGGGAGCATGGCAGCAGGATGGGGGTCTGAGGTGGCAGGGCTGGGAAACTGAGGGCTCAGAGAGTCCTGGAATTCGGAGTGTGTCTGGCAGAGGCCATGGCACAGGCTCTCCAGGGTGATGGGCTCCAAAGGCTGGTGAGGCCTGAGCCCTGAAGGCAGGTGGAGCCCGTACCTGTCACACGATGGGGCCCAGTGCAGGAGGGTGAGCGCAACATCAGCGGGGTGTTCATCCGTCACCCTCCAAAGGTCACTGAGCAGTCCATCGTCTGGCAGCACATTGGCTGTGAGGGTCTGGTGCAGGTTCCTGACAAAGGCCGGCACCTGGAGGAGGCACAGGGGAGAGCTGGAGAGCTGCCCGAGCCAGCAACTTGGCCATCTTTGCACCACAAGTGCTTCCCTTGCCAGCACGCCGTGCTGGCCTCAAAGGCTGAAGGGGTCGGGCAGAGCCGGCTTGGGGGGCCATCCAATGCTGGCCACAGGCTGCTCACTTCAGCAGGGGCGACTCTCTCGGCAGCAAAGGGCAGGCTGGGAGCATCGGCCGGGCCCTGAGCGGGCGTGGTGTCCGTGTTGGCCGTGCCCTCAGTGGTTGCGGCATCAGCCGTGGCCGTCAGCTCAGGCAGCGCGGTGTCAGGGTCGGTGGTGTCCTGGGTCGGCGCGGTGTCCCGGTTTGCTGGGCCATCGGCCGGCGCGGTGCCGACACCGGGCTTGGCCTTGAGCTGGGTGGGGCTGGCGTCAGGCTGTGCCATCACCTCCGTTGGTGTGGTCTGGGTCCTCCTCCGCCGAACGCTGAAGAATTTCAGCAGCGTCTGCAGGAGAAGGAAGGGCAGGGAAGAGAGGGATGTGCCCTGGCGTGCTCCAGCAGCGCTGCTGGGCTGAGCAGTGACAGCAGGCCCAGCCCAGGTGGGCATGGCTGCAGGTACCTGTGCTGCCCTGCGGAAGCGGCCACGGGCACGGTGCTGCTCTTCTGTCCGCTCCCGGCCTGCATCTGGCAAAGAGTGAGCGCAGTCAGAGCTGAGGGGCTGCGGGAAGGGACGGAGAACCCAGCCCAGGCCTGCGCTCCACAGGCACGGCCAGCCCCGGCATGCCCAGGGCAAGGAGCACGGCCGTGGGGGAAATCAGCCCCAGCCCCTCTTCCCCCCTCCATTTCCATGGGCATGTTCACAAGGGTTGGGCTGACAAGAGGCCCATCCCAGGTTGGCATGACTGTAGCCCCCATGCCTGGGGTCCAGCTCTGCCACTCACCCTCCTGCAGGGCTTGCAACTGCTCCACTTCCTCCGGCTGCCGTTCTGGGGCAGCTCCAGGGCCTGCCTTCTTCTTCCTCCTGGAAGAGCCTGAGCAGGCTGAGGCATCTCCCTGCCATCCCAAGGTTGTGCCGTCAGGGATCTTGCAAGAGAGACACCTGGGAAAAGTCCTGGTGAAAAACTCAAGAAGAATGGCCTCGAGGGCACCTTCCACAGGGACTGGAGACCCCTTGGAAAACCTCTGGGTCACCAGGTCCCTCAGTCTGCCCTTGAGGGCACCCGACAAAGGGACGGGAGACCCCTGGGAAAACCTCCGGGTCACCAGGCCCCTCAGTCTGCCCTTGAGGGCACCCGACAAAGGGACTGGAGACCCTTCAGAAAACCTCCGGGTCTCCAAGTCCCGCTGTCTGGCCTCAAGGGCACCCGACAAAGGGACGGGAGACCCCTGAGAAAACCTCCGGGTCTCCAAGTCCCGCTGTCTGGCCTCAAGGGCACTCGCAAGAGAAAAAATCCTCAGAAAAGGCTCCGGTTCGGCAAGGTCGAGAGTTGGCTGCACGGGGGCTCCGCACAGCACCGCTCTGTCCCGTCCTGTCCCGTCGCGTGCTCTGAGCGCACTGATGGGCTCACAGCACCGCCAGCACCTTTGTCCCCACGTGTCACAAAGGGTCCCTGGTCACCCTTCCCCCTCCCATGGGCGATGACCACCGTGTCACAAAGGGGCCCTGCACACCCTACCACATCCCAGCCCATGGGCCACGGCCACCAGGTCACAAAGGGCCCTGTGACACACTGCCACATGTCCTGGGGCCGCCCCCAACCCCGCCGGTTAACCTCCTGGACATGGGGGAGTGCAGTGACAACACCCTGTGGATGCTTCCAAAGCACCTGCCAGAGGGCAGCCAAATCCAATGTGCACTGATGTCTGTGCTCTTGCAGGGGGCTCTTGTGAGGAGCAGTTGGAGCAATTGCTGGCAATACTTGGCATCTGTCAGAAGGCAGAAGCTGTTGCTCCTTCCTGCAATGATTTTTTCATGGAAATGATAACCTGCAGCACAAAACCTCCCTCAGCTGCTTAGTTTCACAGGACAATTAAATTGGTCAGATATACTGTCAAGTTTCCTTGTGTTCTTTGGACTTTTTTCCTTGCTTTCTGAAGAAGAAGAAAGCAGCCCTGTCTAATGGGTCTGCCGGCTGCTATGCCGTGCCTTGGGCAAGTGAAGAGGATAGGGAGAACTCTGGCATGACAACCTGTTCTGTGTCTCTCCCCACTGGATGCCCCTCCCTTCCCCCATCCCTTTGTGGCAGCAGCAGAAACACCAGGAGAGCCCAGAAGTGGAGTAGCACTTAGGACGGCCACCCAATAAAAACCAGGCACCGTATATGATGATGATCCCACAGTCAGCTTCCTTGTTTCGGACTGCCTAAGAATTTCTTCTTCACACACACACTGCCAACAGAACCTTACATGCCTTTCTATTCTCAACTCCCTATCTGGAGTTTATTGCTAGTCTTCCCACAGAAGTGGATAGTCCCTCCTTGTTTACATCCTTCTCTCACTGGTCAGTTCTGGCACCTTCTCAAGTCTTTCACGGTTCCTGTGAATTCCTCCGGGAAACGGCTTCAAAATGTCAAAGTCCAAATCCTCCTCCTCCTCCTCTGTCTCCTTCACCGGGGGGTCAGCGGACCCGCCGCCTTCCCCAACACAGAAGTGGGAGTCCGAGTTTTACTGAGAAAAGAAAAAACCTCCTGGTACAACACAAAAAGACAGAGGAAATGGTTGACCCACCAAGAGGGGGATCCACCACAAACCAAAGAGGAACTGCTCTCTCTTGAGAATATCTGCCTTGATTTCCCCACGTGGCCCAGGAGAAGAAGTCAAGTGGCAAACCCTCCCCAACCAGCTCAAAAAGAGAGAAAGAGGGACAATGCAAAACCTGGAAAGCTATTTCATCCTGAGGGAGTTTTGCTGCTGAGAGGCTGCTTCCAGGTCCTGGCTTTAGTGGCTGGCACTGGTTTGGGATTTGAGGGGGCTGCAATAGTGGCTGGGATTTGTGGAGCACCTCCAACTTGTGGGGATGGTTGGCAGTGTCTCCTTCTCCTGGGAGTCAGGGAAAAGAGTGGCCCCCTTCTGCTTCTGCCTGTGGTTTTTAAAAGGGGCCACTCCACCCCCTTCCTCAACCCAGGCAAGAAGAAAAACCTTCCCTTTCCAGTGCCTTTCATTTCTCTGACAAACAAAATTCCCCCACCAGTGGTGACGTGGGTTGTGTGGAAGAAACATCGCTACAAACTCTGCCCCTACTCTACCTAGGACATTATCCACCCCATATTCTATACCATCCACATCATCCCCACATTTCAGACCTGACTGCTGCAACTGGAGCAGTCCAGACTCATTGTCGGTGCAATTTCCCCTTGACAGTGGCAGTTTCAGTCAGCAAGCAGTACTAGATATGCAAGCCACCCTCACAGATGGTTCTCACCCAAAATCAAATGCCCCTGAGGCACGCATCGTCTTTCCCCGCTCCTCTGCATTACCCACCACGGGCACCCACCAAGGTCCTTGAGCCAAAGCAATCCCCCTGGTGGGTTTGCTTTTGCCTGAGGCAGGACTGATCCAAACTGTCTTTCCTAGCACGTTTCTCAGAAGCACCACAGGGACTTTGTCTCTGGACCATAAGGCTTCTGATTGGGCAGGGCCAGCTGGACTGGTAGAGCCTCAGGTGTTAAGATTATTTTCCGTTGCCGCTTTACACACGGAAGGACTTTCTGAGGAGGCTCAACATCATTATTTCCAGGAAAGAGTAAGAGAGAACCAAGACAAAATCAGAGCCTTAAAAATGTTTTTCTTTTATGAAAATAAGATTTCCAAAAAAAGAAATACCACTGCATTTATTTGGAAGATTACTTAATATTGTTCTATTTACAAAGTAGAAAGATTACATCTACGGCATGATAAAATAGATTTGGAAAAAAAGTTGTGTCAAGTACCACATAGCTCTGGTCCCAGAGGGTTTCCCAGTAGGGGCTCTCAGCCACCCTGAATTAATGCCAGATTGCTGCATTACTCTTCTGCCTCCATCTGACAGAAAGAGATCAGGCTTTCTGTCCTAGACCTCAGCTTCCTGCAGACACTCTCTACTTCCCCTGTCCATATCTTCTGTCACCACTTTCAGAGACAGCCCAACAAATTCCTGTGATGTTTCTGGACCAGAAACCAAAAAAAAGCACAGGTTACAGTAGGCTAATGGCGGCATTTGAGAGGAAAGTCTTTAGAAATACAGGGGAAAAAAAGTGGAGGAGCAGCAAATTACCTTCTTTTTCCAATAAAATTGTAACCACTTTTTTGTTGTTGTTTGTTTGGAAATCTTGTAGACTGTCTGTTTGGTTTAACTCTCTTCTACAGCAAGTTTGTCTCCTCTTGTTGTCCAAATACACTCCAAGGGTCAAATCCCAGAAGGCAATGATAAAACCCTCACTTGTTTCAACAGTGACCAACTGTTTCACATAACTAAATAGAAATTGTTTGTAAGAACATCTTAAACTTTTAAAATGTGAAACAAAGCAGTTACTGTCCCACAGAGAATGCACAGAACTTCTCTTCTGGGCAAAGAGACGGGCTGGGAACTTTTGACTTTCAGAAAGTGGTGGGAAAAAAAATCTGCCTATTTTTTGACTCTTGCCTGAAGAATTCCAGACAATAATCCTACTGAAGGCAGATATTTCAGAAAATGTTTTAGAGATCTACTGGAGAGTTGATGCTGTAGTGTTACACAGTGAAAACCACAGCCATTTACAGCATCACATGTGTAGGTGCAACTTCGGTAAAAAAAAAAAAAAAAAAAAAGCTTTAAGAAGGCCCAAGAACAAAGTTTTATGATTTTTTTTTTTATTTGAAGGTGGCTAAAGTAGACTGGGAAATTTATGACTGAGAAGTACACATTTGATTTCTGACTTAGATAAATTTGCACATGTGCACTTCTGACCCAAAGGAGTGCAGAATACTTGATTTTTAAATACTGGCTGTTTGTGTTATTTCACAAAGACCAAGTTTTTCTCTTCGCATTTGTTCTAAAACATTTTCCACATTCATGGTGTATTTTTAACTCCCTCTTACTTTATCTTTTCATATAGCTTTTTTCTTGCAAATCAGCCTTCCATAGCTCTCTTGCAGCTGTAGATTTTTCTCAACACTTTTCTCTCTATTGTGTAGTCATTTTTTCATTGTTAGACTTTTTCTTCTCTTTTTAGTTCTTCTATTCTATTTTTGACTGTTGTTTTCAACCTCTGTTAGCCACAATCTCCTTTTTTCTTTCTCTCCTGTCACCATAGCCTCATTTCATCCCCTCCCCACTCTCCTATAATCAGAAGGTGAAAGATCAGCATTACAGACCAACGTTTAGCACCATAGGTCCTGGCACTTCACATCCAAATTTTATTTCACATTCCTGAACTCCTGCTGCTGCCATTGACAAAAGTCTTGAGTTCTAAAGTACTGCTGTAATTAGTACAATAGCTTCCACTGATGTAACAATGTTTGCCTGAACTTGTGGAAAGTCTGAAATACTGGTCTGGATCTTTTGCTCCAAAAATTCAGCCATGTGACCTTCCCGTTGCCCTGCAAGATGGTGAAGAGAAATAATGGTACTTTTTCCTCATAAATGTATGGAGATTATTGGTTTTTACAGTGCTCTGTCTGCGTGAGAGATGATTGCCACTGTCCCTGTATCTGTGGGGTCATACCTATTGTGTCTGATGCCAGGTTGCCTTACTTCTGTCCTGTCCATCTTGGTGCCCTGCTGATCAAACACACACAGGCTCTTCTTTGCCTTGCTTTCTTGAAAACCTCTGTCAGAGGCACACACACAAGTGCCTGAACTAAGAAGAGAGCCAGACTTCATACCAGAGACAAGGCCTATGAAGTAGGCAGAAAATTCGGATGAGAGAAAGGTGGTCAGAGAGAGGTTTTGGTGTGAATGGGAGACAGGTGCTTAAAGGTATGTGTTAATGGATATTTAGTAGACAGTAGATGGTGCTCCAGTATAGCTGTCATTGTTACTATGTTTCATAGAAGCAGCTTTTCTGGACCACTGCCTTTTCTTATCTTTCATACCAGGCCTTGCACAAGTTTGTGAAAAAATAAAAGGAGCAGTGAGACCATCTCTTTGGAGGCCACAGGTTGGGACAGGATGGAAGATTAGGTTTGGCTGGAGACTTAGCCACAGGTGCCAGAGTCAGAATCACTGGGGACTTTTTGTCTGTGGATTGCTACCTTAGCACGAGAGACAATTCCTGCCCTGTATCCCTTTCCTCAGCAATGGGTTCTTAGGTCTACTTAGTCCTAGCTGCCCCAGTTCATACGGTTGGAACTCAGGCACAAGTCTGTGTATTGTGAGAGTAATTTGTGCTTCTGCAAATTACTTCATTGTGATGAACTAGGGAGTCAGCAGACTCATTTCTTTTCCTGCACTTGGGTAGTTGTGATCTGTGTGCTAACAGCAGTGTGATGATATGGCAGTGAGGATGCTTCACCGTGATGTAATTAGTGCACATAGTGGCCCTTCAGACCAGCAGCCAGCTGTGGCTCATTAGAATCTTGGCTGAAGGCTGCGTTTCATTTATGAGCAGTGTTCAGATCTATATATTTGGTTTGCTGGTGCTCATGAAAACAAAGCTCAGCAGCACAGCCAGGCGTCACATGTGGGGTTCTTGGACCAGCTGGTGACACCAGCCAAGTGTTCCAGTGTGGGTGCACAGACCCTGCCATCTCAGCGGTGGGAGACATCCCCTGAAACATATGCTTTCCACTGATGCTCCTGTCAGGGTCACTGGGCTGTCTCTTCCACAGTTGTTTTCCTGTGAGGGAGCAGAGCACTGACCCTTTTGTCCTAAGCTCTTTTCTGTGCCAATGCCTGCCCTGGTGAAGATGGAAAAGCCGCTCTCCTGCTCTTTGCCTTCACCTGCCAAGTGTGATCTCCATACCATGGAGAGACAAAGTGCAGTTTCCAACAGTCCCCTGTAGCCACCACCATGCAGAAGACACAGGAGAAGGGTAAGGCAAGGGAAAGCCCCTGGTTTCTGGCTTTCTAACATACTTGCTTACCCTGTGAGTTGCTGTATGGGAACTGAAGGCCATGTTATCTTAAACCCTGCCCCAAACTCTCTGGCAATCACTCAGCCACAAGCAAAATCAGTGGCAATTCCAACCCTCAGTCTGGGACAATGGTAGGATTATGCAAAATGGTTCATCTTTCCAAAACCGCTCCGACTGCCGGGCTGCCAGGTGTTTTCTGTGGGATCTGAATGCAAGGGGATTTCCTGCACAACTGCAGCCTTGTAACTGCAACCTCAGGGTTCAAAGAGGATTGGGGTTTCTTTTGCTGGAATTTCTCCAGCTGAGATCAGTAATTGAGATGTTCCTTCGCCTGCAGTGGGGCATGCTATGGAGTATCATTAGGTTTATTCTTGATTTGGAAATATAAGAAATTGAGCTGTTCAGGCAAACAGCCAGCATCAACAAATATCAGCATATGCAGCAGATAAAACCAGGCAATCAAGTTGCTAGCTTCTAGGGAAATAGCAGGAATATGTTTGAAACTACCCCTACCCCTTTTAATGGACTTCTAAAAATTATTCCCTTAAGCTGCATTTGGGCGACTTTGAATTCATTGTTAACATCTTTAGAGTGTGCTTGG